GTTGGCATACAATAGACTAGGGCATGGCAAGTCATAGACTTGGTATTAAGAATAGGAACAGGATAGACGCGGCGGAAACTGGAAACTGACATTAGACCTGCGGCGGAAACTGACATTAGACCTATTTTTACCATAGACATGGTCCATTTAGAAAGGCGTGACCATGAGACTTGCACAGAAGCTTTAGCCTCGAATTAATCACCCATACACAGCGGAGGGCGAATAACGCCTCGAGCAGCACAGATGGGGTGGGAGGGGTCGAGTGAAATATGTGAACAAGGGCGAGAGTAGACGGATCTTACGGGGCTGTGATAAGACTTAGGGAAGGAGAATTGCGTAACAATATGGCGGACTCTGATCAACATTCCAAGGAGGTGAGAATGACAGCGTGGAGCGTGAAGGGTTTTCATGTATGCCGCTCAAAGGAGCACCCTACACTACATCGAATTAAGCACGGTAAAAAGTGTAAGAGTGAAAGCGTGATAGGAGGATATAGGAAATGTTAATACCCCTGGGCAGAAGGGAAGTTACCACAAAGGTTTAGCACACGTTTGGTCAAAGGATCGGCTTCACTTCTCTCTTTGACGAGTTATTGTGTGGTACTAAGAATGGCGAGACTCACAAACGATACCGGCGAAGCGTCTGGGAATGTACCACGTCTACGGTCCGACTTTGGAAGTGATCATGCATACAATGAACTCCGTTCCTCTAAGTTTTTCTACCAATATGACCAAGTTGCGAATACTAGATCAAAAAATTATATCTATTTATGAAACTATATTTAAAAGATATGTTCTGTAAGTAATAGATAATACGAATTCGAAGCTCCTTGGCAGATTAGGAGTTGGTTTAAATGTTCAAGCAAAGGAGTTTTACATCTCTTTACATAATACACATGATAATTAAATGAAATACTAGAAAATAGACAAACACCATTTGAAATACCTTTAGTAAGGCTCAAACTGTTGTTTATGTGAATATAATAAAAAGTTCAAGGTTAAGACGCGTAATGTCAAATTATGGAAAAGTTTAAGGAGAGTAGCTTTAGAGCATATGTGAATAGAAAGACAATTTCTTGCAAAATTTTCACGCAAGAGATATAGGATAGCCAACCTTATATATATATATATAAGCAAAATATATGTATAAACCAAAGAAGCAGATAAATTTTTAAGTAATCAATATTTGAAGTAGAATTAGGATTACAAATGAATCTTTATAAATGCCTTGGTTTAAAAAGTAAATTATTGTAGTGTGAAATCAGGATATTGGTGATCGAAGATCAATATGCTGTGGCTATCGGTGCTCGCAGCTAAAATAACGTAGATATAACCAATACAAAGTTCCTTAACAAATAGAATTAATTTCAGCTAATCAATAAAAGATGCCGAAAGGGTCATCAGATTTTTAACTGTTTAGCAATGAAAGAACCAATAAATGACATACACATTGAGATCCTTGATTTGTTAATTCAATTCATTACTCATTATTTGCATGCGGACTGTCCCAAGGTTCCTGATGAAATTAATTTAATTCGAGGCTAGACGATTATTTTAGGATGAGGGACAAGTTGGGTAGTTTAAATGCAAGAATGAAAGTAATTATGATATAATGTCAAGCATACAGACAACGTCTTTAGGATTCTGATTTATGTCGATGTCCTCTACCCTTGACTGGCCATTTTGCTGGGCTATAGACATTCCTCCCATCACGGATTGAATTAAGCAACACAGTTTGCTTTCTCAATTTATGAAACTATGCAGAAGTTGGTAATTCAAAAATATTGATCTCAAGACTTTCACTTTCTATGGAAGTACATGCTGAAGAGATTCGTAGGTCAATCTCATCGCAAGATGTTGGCCGATTCGCGTTGTACTGCAGCAATTCGGCGTTAATACGACACTCGGGTTGATGCAATTAACGAGACATCCTTCAATGTTTCGAGCAAAGACTGACTGGGCTTTCGTCCGTCAAATGCCGAGCATCGTCAGAGCTGGAACTCATTCTTGCAAAAACCTTAAGTTAGCACTAAATCAAGTCTTCTTAACTTGACCAAAGAATCTCTTCATAAATTACTTCCATACGAAATGAAAGTCTTCACATCAGTCTTATCTCAGGAGATTCGTCGAAACAGACATTTTCTTTGTATAAAAACTGTATCCTTAATAGAATATATTTAGATTGGAAGATAGTTGGTTAGACAAACTAATGATTTTAAAGTATATTTTACTGATTTACCTTTGTATTTAGCCACAAAAATAATGATTTAAACTAGATTGTGAAACCTCAAGAACATATGAAGAGAAGATGAATTTCGAATAATCCTTTAGTAGAATGATACTGGCATACCTTTCATTTCATTTTAGAATACGGATGGAATGGATTCGTAGATTGACATCACCGGATAAGAAAGGAGGGTTGCCTAGGAATTTTGGCCGTTTAATTGTGCTAAGAAGAGTTCAGATCATCGTCCTACGACCCCAATGACTCCGTGGTGAGCTTTCATCCGTCATGCGACCAACATCGTCAGAGTCAGAAACCATTATTCACGAACAATCAACATAAAAATCCTAAACCAGGAAAGGTGACTGGCTGATATCCTACATCTTATACCTCACTGTGTGATCTTAATGAGGTATCTGATGAGGCCAATCTACTAAACCCTTATACCCGCCTTCTCAAACAAAATGAAAAGTATGCCAGTACCCACTAAAACATTTACAGGAAAATCCTTATGCTTTATAGGTCTTCGAACAAATTTGACAATTCACAAGATAAATCTTAATAGCCATATAAACTTATAAAAACTCAGGGAATACAGAATCCTACGAGGGAAGTTGTACGACAAATTCGCAGGAATATATTTCTTAATATTATCAAGTAACGATAGCATACTTAAAGCAGTCAAGAACCAAAATAATAGTATGTGTATAGAAATTGTATCCCAGTTCCATAAAGATATTCCCAATAAAAATGAGCGTAAATAGGCCTATTCTACCTTGAAAAAATATTGTCTAGTAGCTAATATCCATCTCAACCGGCACCAACATATATCAAGATAAAAATGGGAACCAAGTAAACTGGGGAAAACCATCGGGGATAATCGTCAAAGGCAACAGTGCCATAGCTTACAATGAGTCTTGTGAAGGAGCGCTTAGCCTCAAGCATTAGAAAGGACAGCAACTGTGAGAGAAATGTGAGACTTCCTGATCGACCGAAACCGATACCACTGAACCCAGGAACACGAAAACCGCTGCCAGCAGTGGTACCTGTGGAACTGATGTTGGATGCTGGAGTTGTACCCCCGAGGCTGGAGGTCGAAGCAGAAGGGGTAGGCGAAACTTGAAGGCTATGCATCGTCTCGGCAGCCCTGACAAGCACAACTAGAAGTGGCATCGAAAGGGCTGGCTGTACCTGCTCGCAAGCTGTAAGGATTAGCTCTTTAACGTCGCGATCGATGCCAAAGAATAAATGCTCCAGACAGAGGACGGAAGAGGCAAAAGGGTCCGAAAGCTTAGGGTCGTCAGAAGACTGGAGAGGTTGTTGTGGCGAAAGTTATAAGATAAATAATAATGCAAAATAATAATAATAAATAGTTTTTGATTTTAAAAGAATAT